GCAAAGATTCTGCGGTTCAAGGTTGTGTTGAGTCATTTGCAGTTTGGTTGTACTTTGTTCAATTGGTGGTGCTTAACTCATTGGATCTTATCTTAAATTTGAAATTTAAAGAGTAAGAGCTATCTTCGGGGGGGGGGGGGGGAGCTTGAAGATTTTCTAATTACCGGGCATACCAAAGTTTTTTCAAAGAAAGTAGGAGGAGAAGACTTGAAGCTTTCAATAGGTTCTTGCTTTATAAAACTTTGGGGGGAGATTGTAAGGACATATATAGTCCTAAGTTTTAGAAAGTTTTATAAAGTCCTTTTACTTTATTGCATTGTAATACTCTTTGTATTTGGGTTAAGCGCTATTGGGCTTAACTTGTAAATGTCACATATAAATGGGGACATGGAACTTAGATTAGGAAGTTAATCATTTTCCCTCAAACATTCTATAATTCAAATGAGAGTCGTCTAATAGCACTAAGAGATTGTAGTTTACTTTCAAATAATAGAAACTGACCGGATTCTACATTATCTTCATCTACTCTCTTAATCTCTAATATGAATTGTTCTTGATTTGTTGTTGAAACTGGGATTCTCACCATGGCTCTTCCTGACAAGGTCTATCACTCTGTGATGAAGCTTAAAACCTCAAAAACCATGTGGGACACTCTCTGTCTTCAATATGAAGGTACTTCTGAAGTACAAGAATCGAGGAAAATTAATTTAGCAAAACAATATAAAAGTTCTCTTTATGGCAAAACTGAATCTTTTTTTTTTTGAAGTACATTAACGCTTTAATTGTTTTCTTATTGATTTGAGGACAGTTGGAAGAGAATATTCCAACTCAGAAACGCTAACAAAATTCCTTCAATGTTTGCCAGAATCATGGGATAATTATACCATGTGTCTCAAGATGTCTAAGGACATGTCTTCCCTTTCTCTCAAGTTCTCTTTAATGGGATATTGCTTAATCATGAGCAATCCCCTCAGCTGAAGAAGAATTTTCTAAAAGACTCTAGGAAAATGAAAAGATCTCTGTTATCTTTGATCTCTGATAGCCCTTCAGCTGACCCTTCTATTTCTTCTACTCCCTTCTCTTCTTATTCTATCACTTAGTTCGATCCTTCTAACTCTGAGGACTTGATAAACGTTGATATTTTAGAGTTTGATGAGTCATTGGCCCTTCTTACTAACTCTTTTAGGAGGTTCGCCAAAAAAGAAAGCTACCACATATCTCTTTCCCTGACCACAGCTGAAAATCCAAAGTCAAAGACCATAGACAAGGCTTCAGCTAGCTGCTACAACTGTCAACGTAAAGGTCACTTTGCTAATGAATGCAGGTCAAAGAATTTTGTGACACCATCTTCCAAACTCCTATCCTCCTTTAGTTTTCAAAAAGAAAAGTACCTGAAATTGAAGGAGAAGTACAAGAAGATGAAGAATCTCCAGCGTAAAGGCAAAGGTCTTGTCGCTGAAGAGCATGACTGGGCTGATTCTTCTGATGAATCATCCTCTAGCAAGGAAGACATGGCCTACCTCTGTCTCATGGACAAGGATGTCAAAAATAAACCATCTGAGACATCATCCTCCAGTGATCCCTCATCATCAAATTTTGCTCAAGAATGTAACTTGAATGAACCCTCTTCTTCTTTCTCTGATAGCCTATCTGCACTAGATAAGCTGATGGTTGACCTTTACAATACCATGAATTGCAAATCCAAAGCTGAAAAGCTTAATCTTGATCTTCAAGAACAATTAGATAGATGTCATTCAAAGATCAAATAGCTGACCAAGATTGAAGAAAACCTTAAAGATCGGGTCATTGTAAACCAGACGATTAGCATTGAACACGAGCAGGCTATCACTGAGCATGAGCAAGCAAACTCAAGGATAATAAGACTACCATTGAAGGATGGTGCAAAGCCTCTATCAAGGCCTCTAAGGTCATCAATGCTCAGATCCCTACCAAGATAAAGAGTGGTCTAGGATTCTCCTATGATCAGGAAGAATGTGACATTAACAAGTCCATGCTCAAGTTTGTTACTTTTGTCTCTTCTTTTACGGAGTTACTCCATTGTCTCCAAGTGTGCTTACCTATTTTATGAAATTAGACTGTTCATATATGGTCAAAAGATTGTATACTGCAACAAAGGACAAGCTTTCTTTCAAAGCTTGTCACATGTTTTCTATCTTCTAAATTGCATTTAATGCAACGGGTATAAATAGCTGAGTAGTTATCTCTTAGGTTATCTTCCTCATCTGATCTTACCCAAGAAGATACTCCTCCCTCTACTTTCTATCTAAGAGAAAGACTTCCACTATAACAAGTGAAGAGCACATTACTTTTTAACCTATTTCTTGTAGCAAGTCTTTGCCTCTTGCTATCTGCAATTTTGTGTGTATCTTTGATTGTTTAGATAGGTTATGTATCTTATCTCTTCCGCAAACAATCTGTATTGATTTTTTATCAATAAAAGTTTTTTTAAAAAATGAAAGTTGTTGTGTTTGTATTCATCCCCCCTCCTTCTATGAACTTTTACTCATAAACTCTTGTAGATCCGGTTGAGTCCAACATAAATTTTTACAATAAAAATCTTGTTCTAATCTTTCTTTCTAAAACTGAAGTTATATTTCAGATTCCAGCAAGAATACTTGTCTCCTGGATCCTGCAAGGATGTTATGATTGGAACCATTATTTAGATTCAATTAAGATGCGAAATCCACATCCAATTTAGATTCTGGATTCCTAATCCGGATACACAAAGGTTAAATCCCAGAAACATATAGGTTTATGTAGCTCTCAAGATCATGAAGCATTCCGGATTCAACTTACATTTGATCACTAGTAAACAAATTTTAAGGCATGGTTCCAAGAATGTTTCTAAGTGTTTAATTGGATACATTAGTTTGTAATATTATTAAATCAAATGATTTAGATCAACAAATATGTTCTTAATCCAATTTCGAATGCATATTGTGATTTTAAGGGAATTTTATAAACCAAAATTATTCTTAAAAAAATATTGGGATTTTTTATTTTAGAACCAAAATAAAGGTTTTGAATGTAAATTCCCAAAATTAGGAAACATAATAAAGTATGTTGCATTTTAATATAATTTACCTAATTTTTGGTTTGAAAAAGATAATATAGTTATTCAAAAAAATTCAAGAATATAATGTTTACTTATATTGTAAAATTATAATATTTATGTATGTATCAGTAATTAAAACATAGTTATAAACTTATAATACTGTTCTTTTTCTTATTTGAGGAGTCTATCAAATATTTAATTATTAGTTAAAAAAAATTCAAATTCAACATGTATCAAACCTATATTCGATTTTTTTTGGACAAAGTGAAATACTAATATTTAGGTAAAATTCTAAAGATACAGTTACATACTTTGTCGTATATTTTTCTATAGATTTCGTTAATTTTTATGCATGTAATATAAAAAATTGTAATTGTTTGAAGTATATATATATATATATATATATATATATATATATAATAAGTTAAACTCACTTGCACTTCTGTTTTTTTGAAATTTGAACATCTAACATGAGGAACGTGGGTTTGGGTATCATATTTGTTTTTGGCTTTTTCTAATCACAATAAATTTCTAATTATGAATGTTAAAAGCATTCAAATTGAGATTCCGATTGAAAGTATTTTCGAAAGAACATCAGGATTGGAATCGGAATCCAAACAACTTGTATCCAACCACCCTTTTGAATACTTAACAAACATATAAAAAGCTACACGTTGAAATTGAAGGTTGTAAGAAATTAAAGGGTCCTTGTCTTCAACAATCATTAAACTCAATTATTAGGCAAAAAATAATTGAAACAATCGAACAAGTCTTGTAAAAACCGATTTGTTTACAAACTGATTATTCCATTGAAGTTAGTGAGACCAAAATCAGCTTTTACTCGAACATACGTGACATCAAAATCCAAATTGTTAGTTGATGGCTATCACCACAACGACATGACACTATAATTAAGGAAGAGAAACAACCAACTAGACTGATACTATTATCTTTGAATATCCAAAATCAACAAAGAAAGGACCACGACCATGTCGTGTAGCCTTCGAAAGAACCTTTGATGGACAAAGCAGGTTACTGGACGACGATAAGTTATCCTTCAACTAAAGATGCAAGAAATATGTGGATGACACGTCCATAGAGGATTAAGGCCTTCGATATATAAGCCAATTGATGAGGATGAAACTAAAGAAACAAGTTCTGGGAATCGGGTTGCATAAGATCATGGGCACGAAATCTAGATGAGTTGAAGGCTGTTGATCACAAAATCAAGATATGCCCAAATCATGGAGGAAGAACAAAGATCAAAGAATAGTTATATTACTGATGGACTTGCAAGTCACCTCTTGATCAAATCCATTTCACTGCTTTACTCTTTAGAAACTCTAATTCCATTTACACGATTCTTTTATTTTATACTTATAAAAGTATATTTTAAGCATTTAAAGCATGTTCCTTTTTTGTAAGCCGTAGGTTTTTACAGATTCTTTTTTTATTTCTGAGTAAAGAAAGGGGGCGTAATCAAAAGAGAATTCTATATATTATGAGAATTGTCAGAATCTTTACCTTTAAGGGATTATTTTACATGATTATTTTCGATCTAGGATTCCTATTTAATGTACCAATTCCACATTCTGTTTATTTCATATGTATTTTTGGTTTGCAATGTCAAACTATTTTACGTGTACTTTTCGTTTTACAAACACATCAAAAAGTTTTATATTCTCAAAACAAATATTAATTAATCAATACCATAAATTATATAAAATTATATATGATTGATTGTTTGTTTTTATAATTTTATGGGTTTTCAAATGTTTAGGTGTGGAATTCTTTTTGTTTGCTTGATTTGGTTTTATCCTAAAACTCCTAACAGAAGAAAAATGAAATTTATGGATTTTAATTTGGGAAATGTTATTTAGGATACACAATTAAAAGGAAAAAAAATATAAGTAATAATTCGTAACGCGGCGAACAAATCAGTTGTTATTTTCAATCACCGGCAACCGGAGTGTCCGGTTGATAAATCAAACCAATCAACTGCGGCCTGAGCCTATCTTTCCACATTTCTGAACCGGGTTCAGTCTCACATTCTCTCCACCTAACCTCCACCACCACTAGCTCCTCTGTCAACCGTTTAACCTCCACCGTCAATGTAAAATTACTATACTGTCCTCCATCAACCTTTACACACCACTTTTTTCTTGTCGCCACCGTCAAACTCTCCTCCTCCGCCGCCTCTGCCACCCTCCCGATGATCTCCTCCGGCGCAACCCTCGACAGAAACATCTCCCCATGATCTTGATCATCGAACAAACCTGACAGATTATAGCCGGAGGAAAACGAGATTATGTCGAATGCATTCAAACTCTTCAAATTGCCGTCTTTCATCTCCAACTGATCGGAACAAATTCTGGCGTCTTTATACCCGATTCTGAACCATGGATCCTTGATGATTTCGTCAACGGAGATCCGCGTGTGAGGATTGGTGTCGAGTAGCCGCGATAAGAACCGTTTTAGCTCCGGCGACGTCCATTTCGGAACACGAAACTCTCCTTTGTATATTTTCCGGTACATCACCATCAGATTGGGATCGTTAAACGGTAGATAACCGGCGTTGAGGACGTATAGAATGATGCCACATGACCAGATATCCACCTTCGCACCGTCGTAACCTTTCTTCGCTAAAATCTCCGGCGCCACGTAAGCCGGTGTACCACACATGGTGTGGAGGAGTCCGTCCGACGCAACTTCCTCTGTGACAGCGGATAATCCGAAGTCAGTGACTTTCAGGTTCCAATGGTCGTCTAGGAGGAGGTTTTCTGGTTTCAGGTCACGGTGGTAGACGCCGCGGGAGTGGCAGTATCCGATGGCGGAGATGAGTTGCTGGAAATACCGGCGGCTGAGATCCTCACTAAAACGTGATTTAGCCACCTTCCCAAAAAGCTCTCCACCCTTAGCAAACTCCAAAACGAAGTAGATTTTCTTCTGGTTTGCCAACACTTCTTGAAGACGAACGATGTTGGGGTGGCGCAGCCGTCTCATGGCGGAGATCTCGCGTTTGACATGACCAGTTAGACCACCCTTTATGATCCTTTGCTTGTTGATGGATTTAATGGCTACAGTCTGCTCCGATTCAATGTCCCAGCCTTGGTAGACCTTAGCAAAAGCTCCATAGCCAAGGAGCTTCCCTACCTCGTACTTGCCGAAAAGGTTTTTCTCCACCGCCGGCTGCAAATCTTCGCCGGCGTAATCTCCTAAAGCGGGCGTCATATCAAGAATATCATAAAAAGGGAAACTTGAGAATTATACAGAGATAATGAATTGAATGAGTTATGGTGAGGAAAAGAGGGATTTGTTGGAGGTTGAAGGTGGGGAAGGAGGGTAGGGATTGGATTATCTTAAAAGACATCTTACTAAAAATGGGGTATTTATTAGGTTTCTTGTGGGAATTTTGAGTTTTTAGGCTCAATATTTCTTTATTATTAAGTTACTGGAAAAATATGTTTTAAAATAGTTTATATATATATTTTTTTTCTTTTTACACTTCTTTTTGTTTGTTACTTTAGAAATTTGAACTCTCAAATTCTTTTGTCCAAATCATTCTATTTTTATTCATATATATTTCATCGACAAATGACGTATCCATTACAGGTTTTATGATGTTCTTAACCTTGTTACCTCTTTGCTAGCATTTTTTTGTTCGCTATTTTTGGATATAGGTATGATACTTGAAAGTTACATAAAAAAATTTAATCATGAAAATAATATTTTGTTCTTTAATTTGCCATGAATTGGTTTGAGTTTTCGGAGTGATGATGAAATGTATTACATGTTTCTACGATGTTCTATAGGAATTCCAAAGAATGTCGACATGCTTAATAAAGTTTAATATCGACAGAGCTTCATACAAGCTCGATCTTGATTGAAGCATACTTGATACAAGCTTGATTGTGAGGATAGCAATGAAGATGACGATCAAGAAGATGACATGAATCAAGATGTATTGTATTCACGTTTTGCTTGAATATGTTCTGACGATAGAGTTTGGTACATATGTTGGAAGGTCTATAATTTAAAAGATTATAAAAAATAATTACTCGACACCACAATATAGTAAAAACATTGTCGGAGCGTTAAGAACGTCAGAATGTGACATTCGTTGAGAACATTGATTACTCCATACGTAAGATTGGTAGATGAGACATTTGCATCCTTAACAAGTGCCAATTCATTATACTTCTTGTCATATGTTGTTATTCACGCTCCGCCAATGATTTTGCTACCGTTAATCCAGACCTCCATCATAGTTAACTAGTTCTTTCATAAAGTTCATGTAAACCTTCTTCCCTCCCCGGCTTTGTACCAACTCTCTGTAGCGAAATCCCTTTCATGCCAATCGACAAGAAATTAATTTATTATGGATAGTCCCAACTATATCTACTAAAACTTGAATCTCTTGGTGATTGTTATAGGAATTTTTGTATATTTAACCATTAATTGAACACATTTTATTTATGAATATATATTCAATGTACGAATGTTTATGAAAATATTGAGTATAATCAAACTCCACCAAGCACCGTCATTTATAATCAATCATATTATGGGGATCAATTATTTTTTATTCGATGCATTCTTGACATATAACACACTAACATCCAAAGAAACAATGTTTAATTGAAACAAAGAGTTTAACTTTTTTTTTACTAAACCTTTCTATACTTGAATGGATTGTTGATGGATTTGATATATGGTTACTCTATAATTTCTTGACAAAACAATGCTCTTTAACTGACCATCGATTCACTTCCAAACACCATTGTATTAAACAAATAAGCTGACACTACCTCAAAATGCCACTTAGGCAACAAATGAAAAATGTTGTCTAAGAGGGGTTTATATGTTGCTTAAGGCTTAGGCAACAAACCCGTGTTGMCTAAGCAGTGTTGCCTTCTCAATGTTGCATAAGAACCAAGGCAACATATGCAAACAGAATATGTTGCCTAAGCAGACTTCTTAGGCAACACACAAAAGGTTATGTTGCCTAAGCAAAAAACATATGTTGCGTRAGTTATCAGCTTAGACAACATACTCTATCTTTATATGTTGCCTTACATATCAACTTAGACAACATACTCTATCTGAATATGTTGCTTAAAATATCAGCTTAGACAACATACTCTATTTAGATATGTTGCTTTGAACTGTAATTAACATAATATAAAATTTCTTTTAGGCAACATTTATATTGTTTAATTGTTGCCTAAGATTTTTGTGTACCATGGTGTAATTTTTTTCTTGCACACTTTCTACAAATGAATCTCAAACAATCAAACAAACAACCAAATGTTTTATACAAACAACTTTTATAACCAAACAAAACTAATTAAGTTCAATAATTGAAAGATAAATTTTTTCCTAAATAAGTCTAAAAGTGACAACAAGTTCAATAACACAAAATTAAAAACTTAACCTAAAGCGTTGTCTCTCTTAATCGCCTTTCCGGTGATAATTCCTCGTCTTGCCTTCTTTGTAATCGGTTCTTCCGTCGGTTCCACTTGGATGCGGCGACGATACGTATATCTAGAGCAAGTGGCCCATCAGTAGGTGTGCTCATCTCTGATGACGTCGGTGTAGTTGGTGAGTCCAAAGATGGAAGGTACAATTGTCGTTGGATGGAAGGTATCGCCTCTAATGAGATCTCTACCAAATCACCCTCTAGGCGTGCCGTAGTCCGCCCCAAGACCGACGCCTTCGCTAAATTAAAYGMTTGAGTTCTTTTTGGAGGCATATCTRTTTTCGTTTCTGTTTCCTAAAGGGTATTTAACTGAGAAACAGAAACATAAAGAAAAACAGATTTGATAACACAAGGAGTAAGGCAGTTACCAAGCAAATTTGATAACATGAGTGAAAGAAACAGCAACTTTAGAGAATGAAACACAAGCAGAAATGTGACTTACATAGTGAAAGAAACAGCAATGAAGATCTAAGTTGAAAATACCCCCCCCCCTGTGTTGTCCTAATATATAAACCCATATGAGTTTGTGACTCACATTTACTTTAATGCCAAGAGTATAAACTACAAACCACAATATATTTGTATCAAAAGCTTGGATACCAACTCAGACAAACACAAACTTCAATTAAGTTGAATTATTTATCAGAAAAMAATCACCCTTTTCTTTTACAATATTGATGCAGCTGATTTTTTTATATCTGTAATACTTTAGTTTACCTTTGCAATTTTCAGCAAATTTTATGTCAATCAACTCCAATCTAAAGTGCTTTAAAACAAACAAAAAAAAAACGGAAACTCATGAACAGACTAATGAAACAGAACACTTGTTTCTACATGCATCAAGTGACAACTAATCACTGTTTGGGAAGCAAGAATACTTGTTTCAATTATGTATTATGGTTTGGGAAGCCAAGAGCACCTAACAAAGACAACAAAGAAAGAAAGCAGAAATTAAATATATAGTCTAATATCACCAACAAAGACAACAAAGAAAGAAAACAGAAATTAAATATCACCAACAACAACTAAAATCTATAAGTGCAGGTTAATAATCTGTTGGGAGTAGGTTCCCTAACAAAGATTGCAAGCAACATGTTCTCATCCTATGGACCCACTATGCAAGTAACATATATGGACATATACACATAAAACACACACATCTGTTGGGTATATTTTAAAATAAGGATTGCTCACAGTTCCCTAGTTTAGCAACCAAAAGTGAAAAGGAACAAGCAATCAACAAAAACAAGAGGAACAAGCAATCCCTAATTTACCAACCAAAAAATATATGTTACCAACAAGCAATCAATAATCCGGGTCATGGAGATATTCATCACCAGTATTATGAAACTCATTAACATCATTATCTGAATCTGTATCATCACTATTTGAATCTGTATTCGTCATACCACCTACACTTAAACAACACGACCGACATTGCTTCTGGATAAATTAGGTCTACAACTTGTAGTAGAACCCCGTAGTATGACACGTTGTCTGCCATTATCATCACCCCGCTATTTTGTGTCTTACAACTCTCATCTCATTGTTCACATATGAGACAGGCCTTGTACCCTTTCGTCTGAATACCCTTTCGTCTCAATACATCATCGTACGGGGACGTTTCCCTTTGACCATGCCATTTCATATGACCTACAGTATATTTTGCCTAAGTAAATTGTGATAAATCTTTTGTGCAATGCGAGTTGTCAACCTTGGAAGCATCAATTTGTTTACCTTAGGCAACATAGAAACAATAATATATGTTGCCTAAGTAAATTAGTTGAATTTATAATATTTACCTTAGGCAACATAGAAACAATAATATATGTTGCCTAAGTAGATTTAATTGAATTTATAATATTTACCTTAGGCAACATAGAAATAAGAATATATGTTGTCTAAGTAAACTTTGTTGGATTTATATTTTTACCATAGGCAACATAGTATATGAATATATGTTGATTAAGTAAACTTTGATGGATTTAAAAAAAAATATATGAGTGGCCAACATTGAACTAAGGCAACGTAGGCTAATATGTTGCCTAGGATACATGGAGGCAACATAGAATCATTTATATGTTGCCTAAGGTCACACTTAGACAACATAGAACCATATGTTGCATTAGAGGAAACTTAGGCAACATATAATAGCCTTTGTTGTCTTAGCGTATCTTAAGCAACATAGGTAATTTACATTTGTTGTCTAAGACAACATTTGGTGTAGTGTGACCATGAATTCACTTCCAAAACTATTGTATTAAACAAATAAGCTGACCATCAATTCACTTCCAAAACTATTGTATTAAACAAATAAACTGACCATAGAAATTCAACAAAAATAGGAAAAAAACGCTACGTGGAAAATGCAGAACCCATAGTAAATTATTGAAGTTCATTTAGCTTAAACGTGCCACTATATTTTCATTAATGACAATTAAATTGATTATCCTTGATGTAACTTGATAATGCTCGATGCAAAACCCAAAAGGAATGGAGCAACATCGATCACATGTCTATCGTTATCTTTTAACTAACTACTTGTCAAAAATGATCGATTTTTTGTAAGATTTAGAAAAAAATACAACACATGAAAAGAGAGTTAGGGGGATTGTAAAGTGAGTGAAAATGATGTTTTTATAATAAAAATTGGACACATTATTTTCCCAATAATTATTTATTTATTAGAGGAAGCACCATTGAGCATAAAAACTTAAATTTGTAAGCCATGCATTATTATGTCATCAATATAAACCAAGTCTTTATTATATTCTATTCTAAGTTGTAACTCATATGTAATTTAATAAAG